CGCACGCACGACGCGTTTGTGAGGGGCCCGGCTGATCCCTCTGCCGTGAGATGATGCCGCGTGCAGCCCAATGTTATTCTGTGCTCGCGCCCGATCGTCGAGGCAAAGGCGACCGCTACCCCTTGCTCAGGCTTCGTTAGGAATCATCTTGAGATCCTCCGCAAACGCGGGCTCAGCCCTAGGTAGGATTGGGCGCAACGAACTCAAGAGCAGACAGAGCAGTCATGCACAGCGGTCTATGCAAGCGAGGATATGAGCCCGCCATCAATCCGGAATTCATTTTGGGGCAAGGGTGCCGAAAAAGGGTTGACATGAAAGCAGGTGTCTCGCAAAGCGCTAAGAGACGCCTCGGTGAGCATGAACCCGACTTGCTATCGCTCTCGGCCGCTAACTGTACGCGATACGCATCATATTCGACATCATTTACGATTCTCGCAGCATCTTTTCACCTCGATGGCCCTCATTGTGATCGATAGCTGTTACGGTGGTGCGCGTCTTGCGTGATGGCTCGCTCCTACATCGCTTGTTGGGTGTGTGTGCTGCTCGGTGCCTATACACACAAGAGATCGAGTGATGTGGCTGCACAGGCCAAGCCTCGGCATGCTTCTTGCTTCGGGCCTGAGCGGTGTGGGATGAAGGACCAAAAGCCCGAGTTGGACGGTGTTGTGTCTGGCGCTGATCGACTAATCTGTGCCCAGCAGTCTGCCGCACAGCCGCTTCATTGTTGCCTGGCGGTGCATCCGTAATTCTTGGGGCGGTTGGCAGCACGGCGACTTGATTTGTCAATTGCAGGAATTATTGGAGGTCCGCGGACGCCTCGCGGGGTCAACGCGTTCGATGCTTGGATGGTGTCATTTCATGCAACAAGCGCCACATCAATCCCAGCCGATGCAATTTGTGGAATGACCAACGGCCAAGCAAGGTCCGACAGGAAAAGGAGACTGGCAGGCACGCTTGCTGCTACTTGTTCTCGTTCGTCAAGACAAGTCATCTCGTCCACAACGCTCTCGTACAATTCAAGTGGCACCATACCGCTGAACTTGAAGTAGGGGTGAAATCCTCTTAAAGATGTACTTCGTCGCCCAATAGCGTCGATGGGTGTAGGTCCGCATGTGGTGCCCCGGACCACTTTAGGCAGTCGCCGCTTATTGTGCCGCGTGCGTACATGTCGCCCTAGCTTGCACCGCCCTTGGCCGCGTTTGCAGCATCCATAAGCGATGCATACTTAAAAATTGTGTTTAGGCAATTTTTGTTATGAATGCGCTTCCATATGCAGAGTGCACGCACGACTCTTATCGCCGCGCGACTCATCAAAGCAACAGCAACCCCTCATTTTGCGTCTCGTCTCGTTTGAGTCCGAGTCAAGTTGAGATGGCGCGTTGCATGTTCGGCCATACACCCTGCAGCGCAGCGCAATGGGGGGGCAGCCATCTCCTGATGAGACGTTTGTGAGCGCAACCTTGCTCTCCTCATCGCATTATATGTTCGGTGGATTGTGGGGAAGTCTGCAACCGAGGCTCCAGTAGTCAAAAGTGTCATGAAAGCAAGACGAGGCTGCGCGCGCAGTCGGCGCCTGCCGGCCGCGCGGCGGAAAACACATCAAAGTTGATTCTGACTCTCAACTAATTACATTTTGGATCACGAATGCAGCTGGATACATGGCACGAGCGCGGGGCGACGTGCACGCGATCTTGAATCAGTCGTGAGGCGTACGCAGCAGACGAGCATTCGTGATTTGGAATTGTCGCCCGCTGCCTCTATACTTCCAGGAAGTACTTCAGGAATTCACATATGAGCGCAGATATGGTGATGAGACTCGGGTCAAGAAGAGAGAGCACTGGCTATTCATATAGGAAGTGCGATCACGCTGTTGTCAGATCTCGAGCGGACTTCCAGGATGAACACGCTTCATTGAACTCTGATTACATTTAGCTTATCGACGCACGGCGTCGCCGCAACATTCTCATCTTCTTCAAATTGCTGCTCTCCTGTGCATAAATGGAGCCTTTGACGCCCGGACCATGCCACCCTTACGCGGCGAGACTGTTCAACGACTAGCCGCCGGCACCGGCTCGCTCGTGGCGGATGTCAGGCACGCTTGAGATGAGGCTTATATGGCCCTCATTTCCGGGAGCCGGGGACCTCGAACAGTAAAGCAACTCTCACACCTTCGTACACATCTGTCACAGGACCCAGAGCCCGAAGCTTGGGTAGATGAGTCCAGGTCGAAATGAGGGGACCTCTTTCGAGCAGGGTCGTAAGCGTACGTGAGATGCGCCCTCGACACCTTTGCAAGCCTCTTTCGGTTCGAAGCATTCCAAATTGACGCAATCACAAGCGTAAATCTTTTCTCTGCTCGTCATCATCAGCGACAAACGAAATGATCATCCGTTTCGTGGTGCGTGATCGAGAGAAACGCGCATGCTGCAAGTCAGCCACTTGGAACGTGCTGTATTCGCCGACATCTTCGCGTCGAGCGAAGAGCGGAGTTGAGGGTGCAAGACACGTTGAGACAAACTAATCGATGAGTGGATTGTTCAAGCTCAGTTGGAGCATCTAGCCTAGCTAAACACCCAGAGACACACGCCCTCTCCACACTAGAGCCCGCGGTGAGACCGAGACAGATAGATAAAGGCACTTGCCCGCTTTGTGCCGGCGCGATATACTACTGCGGTTTTTCACGCGCGGTACATTCGACATTTTCAGATTCGTCCAAAATGCGTGCGAATTCGTGGAAAGCAAGTCACAATAGCCGCAGGCACACATTGTCCAACGCAAAAGCTTAATCTTGCGTTTCCCTTCATCGCAGATGCTGGTGGTTTTGGGCCTTCGTGAGCAACTTCTCGTGCGACCCGAGACACGACCGCTCTGGACTCTCTCTGCAGTCACCGAGATGCTGCTGGCAGAATGCACGGCATGGCGCATGACAAGACAGATATTTGCATTGTTTGCATGTAAGCTAGGAGGTGATGCATGTGTGTATACATCTCGGCGGTGAAAGCAGCAGGTGCATCCCAAGGCTTCAATCATTTATCTCTCCCGCGCACCAATCGGAAGCCGCGGCACCACTTCTCGCACACATGTGTGGCACATCCGCGCCAGCAGCACGTGTCCATCCTCTACTGGTCCGCACGCACCCGGGACCGGACTGTTGTTTCCCGACTGCCGGGCCCGCCAGCTGCTTGCGCGGCAGGGACGAGGAAGCAGCAGAGCGCGTGCGCACAAACAGCGAATCTGAATGTGAATCAGCTGTCTGCTGGAGGGGCCTCTTCACCGTCAGCAAAAATCCGTCAACGAGCCTGCCACCTCGTCATCATTATATGTTGTGGTCGAGTGTCGGACACAAAGGCGCAACGTTTCGGAAGGACTCGTCGATGTCTCCTCACGACGCTTTCAAAAGCCACACA